AAATAAATCAATAATTTATGTGATACTAAAAAATAGGAGAAAATACATTTTGAATTGTCTTTGCCTTTAAAAAACACAACTTTGCTAACAGATGAAAGGACGTACAACGAAAGCCTATATTGACAATTGCGTGACGGTAGGCATATTTAGTAAGATTTACAAATAAATCTCGTAATATCTCTCGTATTTATCACTAGAATGTATAAAATTTCTTTAATATAGAATAAGTCAATCAGGAAAGCGCCAAAACCTCGGAAACAATCATGTGATTACACAATAGTGTGAGTGCGCGTTTGTGTGCAGCCGTGCGGTCTGGACCGTCAGCCGCAAGATCGCAAGCCGCAGTCTGGACGTGGGACGCAGCGTCACGCGAGAACCTTTCAATGATTTTCCTTGTGTTATCAAGGAACAGGAAACCGACATGTGTGTCCGCAGAATAGTCGAACGTGATGTGTGCGATAACAAGACGGTTCCCACAGATTTCATCAGGATAGTTGATAAGGCGATAAGGAACAATCTCTTGCTTTATACATTATATGGTAAGCTCGGGAAAAGAGAACGTAGACAGGACGGGCTTTGCCAACGGAAATTTAGATGTGGCTTGAAATCGAGCGATATGGTCGCTAGTACACCGCTAGAATTATCAATTGTTTTTGTATACTGTCTGATCTACGTTAATATCGTTCATTGATTATAACATTATAAAATGAACAAATATTCAAATTAGATCTGAACACAAGACGTATGAAGAAAATGACGTTTGTTTTTTTGTTTTTTAAACCCTTTCCACTCGGATGCCGTCACTCTCACAACTCGAGAGTGGAAAGGTTCAAAGTTATTAAAATCTGTCTCAGTCGTGTTTGCTCATCTTGGGTTCATTGAACACCAGTAACTATATTATATACTATAATAACAAATTTGGTATGGAACATTACAAAAAGCATTTTGTCCACATTATACGGACAAAATGACACACAAGGTAAAGATATATGTCATTCTGTCCAAATGTGAATGAAAATTAATTCCAAATTACATCAAAAACCTGATTAGTGCAATAAAATTGATCAAAATCACTAATATTTGCGTATTATTAATTTTAATAGAAATAATAACAATAAATACGTCTCTAACTTTAGAAGGCGCGATACACGTTTAAACTCATTACTGCGACAAGACTATGACAATGACGATCCACGTTTGATAAGATTGTGTTTTGTGTGATTTTTTGTCAAATCCCCCCTCCCCCTAAAAACCTCACGAGATTAATGGACGCCCCCTAATAGCTTTCGTGATAATACAGGCACATGAACGTTACTAAAACTAGCCAACTTTTAAATAATACCACTGTATCATTTTACGGACTTCTACCATTTTACGGATAACAATCAATTACTACTTTTATTTCTGAATACCACTAAGATATAAATGCATAAATACACTAGAATTACTTCTATTGATATTTAGGTGATGCCGCGATTTTGCGCCTAAAACAGCAAAGGGTTACTCCCGCCGTGGCCATGTGCGTCACAGGTGAGTCTTGGCGCGTGATCCTGCACCTGTGTGCCCCCCGCGCCCCTTTCACTTGTATTTTGAAATAAAAAGATTTATACTCGCTTGAATAATGCGTGTTAAATAGAGTGTCCGGCTTTAATTTTAAAAATTTCAAAAAATATAAAAGATCAATTTCATAATCCTTCAAAAGATTGTAAGAACATTCTTCAATAATACTTCGACACGATAAAAACTCAATAGAACTAGAAAATACTCTAGTTGTAAGTGGCATTTGGCCTCGAGGCAAGTTGCATCAATTTCCAAATACATACACATAATCAACTTAATCAATAAGAAATAAGATTCAATTATTAAGGTAAAATGTTCAACTGTTTATTTCGATAGTAATATTTTTGCTTTCACTAGAATAATAATCAATGCAGTTTCGAATTAATGTCTCTCGAATATACTTATAGCATAATCATTCATAATGGGCTGTAACTTGGCAAAATTGTTTAAAATACAATTATAAAAGAAATCTCGAAAGTCCTCATCGATCCGATGCGAGCTAAAAAATGATACAAGGTCAAAGATAAAAAAAATTACCTTTTTGCGATTTATAGCTAAATGATCAGTTTTTTCGCAAAATTACCTGAGACAATATTGTCGAGCATTAAATTATCTACAAAAATGCAAAAATACTTTTTTGCTCAGAGCCACCGTTTTAAAGATATATTTTGTTAGTTTCGGAATATGTACTTGCAAAATAATATTTGTGAATTTGGGTATAAAAATAAAGGCGGTAATTGTAAAAAAGCAACTAAATTTATTCCTGGAAGTGATAATTTTCAAATGAAGATCGTGTGCAAAATTTGAGATGATATATATCAATAAATATAAATATTTGTATAAATTCAGTACGTTTTAGTTCAAATCCTTAAACAGAAAACGTAATAATATCCCAAATTCGAATCGTACTGTGCGTAACTGCGTCTCACCGCAGATGGTCTTTGCATATTTTTCCTTCTCTCTGCGGAGGAGCGTATGAAATAATAACTCAAAAAAAAAAAATGCAGACAATACAAAAAACAAAAACGCATCGCGAGAATTGCTTCCGTGACCGACGTCGCGCAAGCCTGACTAGTTGATGAGGCCTCGCGCAGCTGACGCTGGGAAAAGGCGAAAGACGCGGCTAATGGGCAAAAACTATTCTTGTGCAGAAAACTCTATTGGAAATACTATATATATATATATGTATATATATATATATATATATATATCTTTGGAAACTTCTGTCGATTTCGAATATAAAAATAGTGGTGCATGGCATCGCGCCTTAAGGCGAATAGCTGAAACTACCCGTAGCAAAAATAAAGTTTCAAAATAAAATTAAATTTAAAACAAAAATAAAATTTCAAAAAATCTTTTTTTTAATATTTTGAATATTTTTCATTTTTTTAAACATTTTTATTTATTTATTATGTTATGTATTTGCTGTGCAATCAGTCGTTTTTCTCATAAAACCTAACCTACAGAAAGCGCAAACGTCAAATGAGAATTTTATCATAAGCGTACTTTCTAATGTCTCATTGATAACACATACGTGAAGATAGGTTTTATGAGTAAATTCTAACAGCAAATAGTTAGCCTTTTAACAGTTCGTTACTACTAATTCATACGAAGATAGGCCCGCAATATAGCGTTGACATAACATTTCTATTTTATTCGAGAATTGGCCCCTGAACTTCCATGTTCAGTAATGAAATAATAGTATATTCAATTACGACTGACAACTTTTATCAATATACTTTTTAACAATATATATTTTCTTAATCACGACTACGTGCAAATTATGTCTCGACATTATGCATTTTAATAAAAAATATTGATTCCATAAACTTTCTTATATAATAACTAATAAATCTATATATTAATAAACCACGATTACAATGCTAGTAGCATAATTGGCAGTATTTTCCAGTTGAATGGGTGCTTCGTAATAATAAGGTTTAGAGTCTATTCGTAACCTTGAATATATTAATATAAAACCAATAATTTCCGTTTTGATATCAAGGTTAAATGTTAGAACAGTTTAAAGAAATGTTGTTGTAGTATCAGTAAATAACTGATGTTTATACATAGCCACAGATTACTTTCTAACTAACATAATTATTTTAATTTAAAAAAATTAATTGACGTAAGTGTGGAGAGAAATAAGCCGCATATTGATCAATTTATTTTTTCTTCAATACAAAATTATAAATTAGTTAGAAAAAAAACTCTTGTGCCTTAAAATTACATAATAACCGGTACGCTAAGAAGTCGGTAAGTTAAAATCACGTAAGGTAAGGTAAAATTGAGAGCCATAATCACAATCCTGTCAGATGTTGAGCGTCATTGTCACAGTCTTGTCGCAGTAATCAGCTAAAACGTATATCACCCTATTTTGAATATGATTTACTTATGCTTCTTGAGGTGTTTTTATTGTTATTTGCAATTATTTCTAATAGGATCAATGAACTTATGCTAGTACTAGTAATTTCGATTAATTTTATTGCAATAATCATGTATTTGATGGTATTTAAATTATTTATGTATTTTTGTTCACTTTCGGACAAAATGACATACAATGGACAAAATTACATAGTACAATTTTGCAAGAACTAATAGGTAGTTCATTCGAGGCGAAAAGAAAAAAAAAAGTAACATGTCAAAGGTGATTTGCTTTTAGCTTCTACTTTAACTACTTCTTACAACAGATCAAAGGATCCACCGGTAAAAAGTCTCCTGAGCCCGACGAAAGTTGGTTACGAAGAATGATTTGTTTCGTTTGGGCGCATGGATCTTGTGCTGATGTACCAAAGAAAGCCAAACAATATATTTGTGAACTACCTTCTTATAAATTATCATTTCGGTATATCCTTACCCCATATGTCATTTTGTCCGTACCACATGAACGAAATGGTTTTTGTAATTGATTGCATTTTTCCTCAATAATTATGTCATAGTTTCTTCTTAAGACTATGTTACTGGTAGTCAACAAACTAAAGATGAGCAAACGCGATTAGGACTGGTTATAAAACCATTAAATAAATAAATATTATTGAATAAAACAAAACACCATGTCATTTTGTCTGTATTTCCCCTAGTTAATGCAAAACAACGTATAACAAGTAAGATTTTCGGTTGAATTAATCTGATTTCAGTATGGGATGCATATTCGACATCATAATTACAGCATCAAACATTTCCATACCGGTTATGACGTATTTTCAATGCACATAATATTATTTTGCTTCTGACAAAATTATTATTTTTTATAAAAGGAAAATAATAAATTGATGGATATGTGGTTTATTTCTCTCCACACTGAATTGCTTACCACCATGGTGGCAATTGAACTGTTGGTCAACCTAATTACTTTCTCAACAATTAAGCATGTAAATATTTTGATTCAGAGAACAAATATTTCAATTCCAAACGATATTTGATATGAATATATTACTAACCTGTAAGATTCGATGCATTCGGCTTATATTCGCTAGTGGAATGGCAATCCGAGTTCTGCAAGTTGTCGTGCCTAGACGCGACGGACGAAGCGCCGCTGCCTCCGGTCATCGCGTCGTGCGATCGCTTTCGCGACGCCGACGATTCGTAGTCGCGCGACGCAAAAGGCTGGTCGATGTAGACGCTTCGCCCGGACGAAGGTGTACCTTGGTGATGGTGGTGGTGATGTCCGGAGTATGACTGCATACTTCGGAAATGGGGTTGGTGAGGTTGGTGTCCGCCACTTGGACCTAAAAAATGATATATACTTGGTATTTTGTATATATTTATACTAACAATAAGCTACAATAAGATAACATAATCATGGTTCAAACAGTCATTACCTAGTTTAGCCTTACTCTTCATAGAACAATCGTACGTAATTTAGAATGCTTTCAATATATTCTTAGATAGACTAGTGGTGCATGGCATCGTGCCTTAGGACAGATTGCTGTAACTTACCGTACCGAAAATTGGAGTTTTTAAAAAAACTTTTTTAAAAAAATAAATTTTCGAACCGCTGAACAATACTGGCTTCCGGGATGCAAGTCAATTCTATCTATTGACAATAAACTTATAATTTGCAAGATAGTAATAAAACCAATATGGATTAATGGCATAGAACTGTGGGGCTGTGCGAGCAAATCCAACATAGTGCTAATGCAACGTGCTCAATCGAAAATATTAAGGCACTGATGCTCCGTGGTTCAGCAACAGCAATACGATCTTACGCGACAATCTTCATATTGAATTTAAAAACAGAGTTATACAAATCAACAGTGTTAAACATTTTCATAAACTAGAACATCATACAAACTCTATAGTCACTCAGCTTCTTGAGACACCAATTTCAAGAAGACTTAAGAAGAAGCTGCCCAAAGATAATATGGAGGACCCTTAGACCTACTACATATTTATATAAACAGATTAATTTAAATGTGTGTCAGAAAGTGTGTGTGTATGTGTGCGAGTGAATAATATAAGCCAAATAGCTCATAGAATTGTCCTGTATTCTTATTGTTAATCTTGTGATCAAAAATCGTCGACAAATATTTGTAACGTGCTCAACACACACATACATCCATTTTTTCTAAGGTATGCCAAAATGTTCAGAAACCTCGAAAACGTAAAGATACATAAAAAATTTCTTACCCTACGAGAAGTTAAAAAATATGGACCGTTTTAGTAGCTTTTCTGCGACTGAATAACAGCCATAATCACAATTGTGTCAGATGTTGAGCGTCATTGTCACAGTAGTCAGCTCAAACGTGTGTTGGGCATTCAAAAGTTTATTTTGAAGGTAGACTTCTTATGTTTTTTTAGGAACTTTATTGTTATTTGTATTAATGCTTATTAAAATCAATGAACTTATGCCAATAATAGTGATTTAGAATAAAATTGCATTAATCAAATGTTGAAAATTTGATTGATTTTATTGACCCATTTTTGTGCAGTTCTAGACACAATGACATACTTACAAAATTATAATATCATTTACATAGTACTATTTTACAAATACTATATTGCACTTCATCAGAGGCTAAGGAAAAGAAAAAAGAAACCTGTCAAAGATGATTGTAATTTAACTTCTAATCTAACTACTTCTAAAAAAAGATCAAAGAGTCCACCAGAAAAAAGAAGAGCCTTGAATTTTTTGCAGAACCCTCTTTTAACGTTCTGAACCATACTTCATGTCTAAACTGAGGCTAAGAAACAAACGATTTATTTATGAATTTGGGTGTTCTAAAACATCAACATCTCAGTATATCCTTACCTAATAAGTTATTTTGCCAGTAGAGGAGACCGCGTTTGGTTGCGCCAGGGTACGGTAGTGGCAGTCGTTATAACAGCTAAACTATACTGATTTTGAGACAGGATTCAAGAGGAAAAAAATGTAGCTCGTTTGTTAGAACAAGTTCACATTATTGCTTACAGTCGACGCCTTGCGTTAACATAATATCTGTGGACCGCATTGCTTTTAAACAGTCAAAAGTAAGTTTTTCCGTTCGATTTCTTTTAATAATAACTGTTAGTTGTATACAGATAGATTACTTTGTTTGATACTATGCTAGAAGTTGAACATTAGTAGCTAATTTTTCAGCAATTAGTTTTTGCATAAGATAATAAACTTTGGATGATTTGCATCCAAAGTGTGCGTTGGGTACGGTGTACGGTTGTGACAATTTTTTTGTATTCGGTTGTTACATGTATTATTTGCCCTTTTCTGGTGAAGATAAGCTGATATTTTTTTTAAACTTAAGTAAGACAAAATGCGAAGGAGAAAGAAAAAAGGCAAATTCAATATATAAAAAAAGGTTTTATGAAGATTTCTCATTAAATTTGTTTAAAAAATTATATGTTGTTATATCCTATTCATAAGCCTTGTTAAAAAATGATTATGTTGTGTTACATATTTCTGATAATAGTAGTCGTTTCTGACAGTTATTTTGGTGTTATACCTATTGTTTTAACATACTTTTATGCCTGTCACAACCGTCCCTGGGGGTTTTTTTACATATTGAATTATATCAATTAATATCATCATTTTTAGCATTTAATTTTAAAAGAAAACTCATAAATTTTGGTAATATGAAATAAGGTTAATATTAATTGTAGAAAAGAAAAGATTGAAGAAGAAATCAAACGTATGTAATATCTAAATCTCTCAAAGCGCATGTGATTAGTTACACTTAAGACAATCATAAAACCCTATAAAAATGCAATCGTAAATTCAAACATCCAGTAAATTCTGACTGCTTGATAATTGTGCGGCGGCAGTAAAAGCTCGCGCTCCTCGTTACGGCTCATGTCGTAAAAGCGGGAACATTTTCACACCTCGAGAATCTAAATTATTTTACGACATTAGTTAACAATAACTGGACAACAACTTTATTATGTGTTACTGTTTGTTGTTTGTATTTATTCAAGGGTTTTCTGATACATATCTGACATTTATAAGTTAGAATTTATTGAAGGTAAACAAAATCGTTGTTAGAATTTAAAACAATGGAAACTATATTTAATAAAAATAATCTTTTAAATTAAGTGAAATTTGATACGCCAATAATGCATTTAATACCTCCGGTAAAATATTTGTAATATTATTATTTTAAAAAAAATATATAAAATTGAAATTTACTTATGCAAAAATAAAAAGTAAACTAAATATAAATAAAAAATTAAAATAAAAAATAAACACCCAGCAATGAACGATAAAACTTGTACAAATGTGTACACAACTAAACAAAGAAACATATGTTTTTAATAATAAATTAACAAAATTATATCCAAATTAATTGCATAATATTACATTAGTAAAAATACATAATTAAAATTTTTTGGAGTATGATTTTACAAAACATATTAGACCCAAAATACCGTCTTCTAACCTTGATCTTTATCAATAATATTAATAACATTCTGAGTATTTTTATATAGAACATATAAAGTGCTATACTATTTTTGAAAAACTATACTTTTTATGTAAAATAATATTTTATAATTATTGAGTTTTCTTTATTGCACAAGATTAATTTACAGTTTGTTTTTTATATCAATATAATAATTATTATAATTAAATTATAATTATAATAATTAATATGTATAAAGTTGAACCAAGAAGAAAAATTACGCAGCGATTTATTTTGTTGATTTTGTGTATTAATGGTGAATATTTTGGCGCCGGTGTCACTTAAAAAAACCGTTACATTTTTGCATAAGAGTAAAAAAAACATTCATATCTATTAGTCCGGTTCCATTTATTGAGTAACGATATAAATCCCTTTGGAAAGAAATAAATATTCAGTTTAATGGCGAGTCAAGATAATATTTTGACACTTGTTTATACAATAGAACAACCTAAAACGACACCTATTTTATGTGATTATGAGATATAGATGAATACCGGTATTAATACCGCCATGACATTGGGTGCTATACCGGTTTTCGGTATTCCGGTATACGGGTATTGAATTCCCTAATTATATACATTAAATTAGTTTCTTAAACATAATTTTAATAACTAATAGGTAATATTGAATGCTATTTGGATAATAATGAATCAGCAAATGGTAATGAATTCAAAACACTATAATGATTGCCAAAGATTTGTGAATTTTTACATTCTAAGTTTAAATCCCACATGAAAATGTTCAAATTTTTATAGATTACTTGATTGACCTAAAAATTTATGTAAAAAATCATTTCGTCAGCGTCAATCGCCCTGCTTGCCAAATTGCTTGCCAAAAATATTGAAATTGAAATATTGAAAACTAAATAAAATATTCATTGATTTACTCTTTACAATGTGGACTGTGATTACCACTATCGTGTTAAATAATTTTATTTAAAATTTCGATTTAAATTGTAAACAAATTAATTTTTCAAAGACGCGCAATTGGCTGTGGCAAAATGTGCAAATAATTTTACAATATGTATATTAAACTAATAACTAATAAACAAATATATGTTGCAAACACAAGTTGGACTCATTGTAAACAAGTTGTTTTGAACAACACATCTCAATCATATTTAACTTGCAATTTAAAATTATATCGATCTACTAATATGTGCACAAAAATTCCCGTCAATCATGAACGACATCATAAAATGCACTTATATACTCGTATAGAGTAGAGCGGTGTTTCAAAAAAGTCCGCGGGTAAAAAAGTCCACCATCAAAGGTCATATAATCAGATACTACCTTGATTCTTACGACGTTGCTATCGAGAGATAAACGGCAATGTTTAAAAATCCATAATAAAAGTATTTTCTTGCGTTCTTATTTATTTTGATTATAAGCTTTGTTGCATAGTTTTCCAGAACAAATATAATTTTTAAGTATATGTTATTTAATTCTTTTATGAGATGTATTGTTAATTTTTAGTTAGATTCAACATTTTTTTATAAAATCTCTATAAAAGCTTACATCTGGGTAGGGTAAAAGAGACAAACTACATCTTCACCCTGGCAAAGGTGTAAAAAATTAAAAATAGCTAATAAAAAAGTAAATCAAGGTAAAATAAGCAATTTTACAAGAAAGAAATTAAATAAGTTATTATTCCAACTCTGCTAATGAATATTTCTGACAAAATACCAGATCAAGGTCATTTAAAGTGTTATCACCGTAAAAAATGCACCCATGAAATTTATATTTTGCATTGGCTGAATGATTTAGCTATCATTTGGTAAAATCATTTTAAAAAGATAAATACTACATTGTATCTGTTTGCAATCTACTCCGCCTAAGGGG